TGGGAGGTAGAGGTGAGAGGATTACCTGAGCCCAAGGGTTCAAGACCAGCCTGGGTAACTTGGCAAACCCTCATCTCTACAATAAATAAATTTTAAAAATTAGCCAGTCATGGTGGCACACGCCTGTAGTGCCGGCTACTTGGAAGGCTGAGCGGAAGAATCACCTGGGCCCAGCAGGCCAAGGGTGTGGTGGCTGGGAGTGTGCCACTGCACTCCAACCTGGGCAACAGAGTGAGACTCTGGCTCAAAAAAAAAAAAAAAGAAAGAAAAAGAAAAAGACCAGTCTGGATAGGGCAACATGGTGAGGCTCCATCTCTATGAGAAAAAAAAATGCTGGATGCAGTGGCTCATGCCTGTAATCCCAACACTGGGAGGCCAAGGCAAGAAGATTGTCTGAGCCCAGGAGTTCAAGACCAACCTGGGCAACTTGGCGAGCCCTCGTCTCTACAATGAATAAATAAAAAAATTTAGCCTGGCTCGGTGGCTCAGCCTATAATCCCGCGCCTTTGGGAGGCTGAGGTGAGTGGATTGCCTGAGCACGTGGGTTCGAGACCCACCTGGGCAACTTGGCGAGACCTTATCTCTAAAATAAATAAAAAATTAGCCGGGCGTGGTAGTGCGCGCCTGTAATTCCTGCTACTTGGAAGGCTGAGGCGGAAGGATCGCCGGAGCCCAGTAAGTTGAGGTTGCGGTGGCCGGGAGCGGCCACTGCACTCCAGTCTGGGCGACAGAGTGAGACTCCAACTCAAAAAAAAAAAAAAAAAAAAAATTTGTACCCTACATCTTGAAAATGAAAAAAAATTTTAAAAAGAAAGAAAACCACTCATACAATCCACCCCTTTCATTTATAGGCAAGAAAACTAGACCTGGAGAAAGCAGTGGCATGGTGAGCTAATGCCAGAACTCCTGCTTCCCACTCTGCAACAACTCATATGTCTTGGGCACCATTGATGTGACAGGTCTCGTGCAGGGACAGAGTAGGGACTATGGAAGATATGGTTCCTGCTCTATCTGAGCTCAGAGTCAATGGGGGCGACAGGTCACTAGGCAATCGCTATACAAAATGAGAACAGGGTTGGCACAAGCCCAAGTCTGGATATGCCCTGCCTTGCTCATCCACTGAACCACATTCTGGAACACCTTTGACAAGCCATGGGGCAGCTGCTGGACGTTGACTATGGGATTCCTAGAGACCTACCCCAGTGTTCTCCTCCATGGTGGCAGCCTGCCCTCCTGACTTGATAACTTGAGGCCCCCTCAAGGCTGCAGGAGGGCATGAAGGCTGTGATGTACCACCTGCCGCCCTGAAGTGACAACCTAGTTCTACTGTAGTTTCTCATGTGCCCTGGAAAGCCACTGGCTTCCACCAAGCCTCAGGTCTTCCTCTGAAAAACAGGGCTATGATGAGATTTCCATGAAGATAGCCCTCCCCATGGGTACTACATCAAGGAGTCAAGCACCAGTTCCAGGTTAAGGCCATCACCACTTCTCACCTGTACCCCCAACACATCTGTCTCATGTCTCAAAAAGAATAGCTGAGGCTGGGCACAGTGACTCCTGTCTGTAATCCCAGCACTTTGGGAGACTGAGATGGGAGGATTGCTTGAGTCCAGAAGTACAAGACCAGCCTAGGCAACACAGCGAGACCTTGTCTCTACAAAAATAAAAAAAAAATCAGAAAATTAGCCCAGAGTGGTGGTGCATGCCTGTAGTACCAGCTACTTGGGAGGCTGAAGCAGAAGGATCACCTGAGACCAGGAGGTCAAGGCTGCAGTGAACCGTGATTGTGCCATTGCACTCCAGCTTGGGTGATAGAGTGAGATCCAGTTTTTTAAAAAAGGGGGACAGTAAGAAAAAATAAATATCTGGAGCCATAATTCTCAGTGTTCTTGTTATTTGCCACTGCCCAAATGCCACTGCATTTCCTGTGGATTCAGAAGAATCTGGTTTTAAAAAAAACTTGAGTATAAGGCAGTGGCTCATGCCTGTAATTCCAGCACTTTGGGAGGCCAAGGTGAGAGGATTGCCTGAGCCATGGGTTTGAGGCCAGTAGAGGCAATACGGCAAGACCTTGTCTCTACAATAAATAAATTAGTTTGGCATGGTGGCTCATGTTTATAGTTCCAGCTACTTGGAAGGCTGAGGCAGAAGGATTGCCTGAGCCTAGCAGGTCGAGGCTGCTGTGGTTGTGAGCGTGCCACTACACTCCAGCCTGGGCGATAGAGTAAGACTCCAACACACACATACACACAAAATGGCCAGGTGTGGTGGCTCAGTCTGTAATCCCAGCACTTTGGGAGACGGAGGTGAGAGAACTGCCTGAGACTGGGGGGTTCGAGACCAGCCTGGGCAACTTGATGAGATCTCGTCTCTATAATAAATCACAAAAACTAACTGGGCATGGTGACGTGTCTGTAGTTCCAGCTACTTGGAAGGCTGAGGTGGAAGGATGGCCTGAGCAGCAGGTCGAGGCTGTGTAGGCAGTGAGCATGCCACTGCACTCCAGCCTGGGCGACAAGAGTGAGACTCCAACTCAAAAAACAAACAAACAAACAAAACCTTGAGTATAGTGGAAAGGGTGGAGTCAGAGGGCCATATGCTGAGTGAACACAGCAGTTGTAAGAGGTCCCAGGTGCTTCCTCGGCCATATCCCGTAGACCAAGATACAAAGGGTCTAATGTAACCTTTTTTTTGAGTTGGAATCTCACTCTGTCACCCAGGCTGGAGTGCAGTGGCACACTCACGGCCACCACAGCCTCAACCTGCTAGGCTCAGGCAATCCTTCCACCTCAGCCTTCCAAGTAGCTGGAACCACAGGCACATGCCAGCATGCTTGGCTAAATTTTTTTTAATTTTTTGTTGTGGAGACAAGGTCTCACCAACTTGCCCAGGCTAGTCTTGAACGCTTGGGCTCAGACAATCCTCTTGCCTCCACCTCCCAAAGTGCTGGGATTATAGGTATGAGCCACCAAGCCCAGCATGACCTCAGTATTAAGGTCTAGATGCAGATGACCAGCTGTCCATTCGTGTCTCACAAGAGCCACTTGGCACCAGGGGGAAAAACAGGGAGGAGCCAATTGAAGCAGGGCTCCTGAACACCCAAACCACACAGGTGGTCAGTAAGAGAGACGCTCTGTGTGTGTGTGTGTGTGTGTGTGTGTGTGTGTGTGTGTGTGTGTGTGTGTGTGTGTGTGTGCGCGCGCGCGCGCGCGCGTGTGTGTGTGTGTGTGTGTGTGTATTCTGCAGCTTGGGACCTCATCAACATTTCTGCTAGGGCCTGACCCTCACTCCTAGCCCAGTAGAAGGCCTCTGCCCAAGGCCCCAATGAGCAGCCAAACCCTGGAGATTCAGCAGTTGCTGCCAGGAATGAGCCAGGTTGTGCCTCATTCCTTTCCTTCCTGCCTAGCCCTGGGTACCTATATTACCTTGCTGAGAAACGGCTTTTTTTTTTAGATTAGAAGATATAGTTTTGTTTTCTTTTGGGGGGGGTTGGAGTCTCACTCTGTCACTCAGACTGGAGTGCAGTGGCTGCTCCTGGCCACTGCAGCATCGACCTGCTGGGCTCTGGCCATCCTTCCGCCTCAGCCTTCCAAGTAGCTGGAACTACAGGCGAGTGCTATCACGCCTGGCTAATTTTTGATTTATTGTAGAGATGAGGTCTTGCCAAGTTGCC